TGAGGGATGTGCTGGCCGCGGCTTCCCACCACCCCCATTGGCCCGGGACGGCAAACCGCGGCCAGTGGGGCCACGATCGGCCGAACCTGCCGCGTCAGCAGGTAAATAAACTGGCCCGGCCCGCTAGGGTGCTTACCCTGCCGAGCTGCGTGTCAAACGTTGCCGACCCCTGATCTAGAATAAGAGAGGTCACAAAAATGTTATATTGGTATATCAATACTTTTCTGATGAAGTTTAAATAAAAGGTGAGAGGTGTGTAGTATACAAATGTAACTTATATACTAGTGATTATCTTAATTTATAGTATTAGAGTTCATTTGCTGTAAAATGCTATATCCATGAAAAAGATCTGGAACATTCTTGAATTTTTTTGAGTAAACATGGCTTTACATCAACAATATGAGGATATTCACAGCTGAGTGTAGATCTTAAGAAGGCTGAATATTAAAAAATATATTTCTCAAAAAACAGACTACAAATCCCATAGAAATCATAGAATCATAGGGCTGGAAAGGACATGGAAAGGACCCTGTGCTAAGGCAGGGCCAGGTATACCTAGACAATCACTGACAGGTGTTTGTCTATCCTGTTCTTAAAAACCTCCAGTGATGTGGATTCCACAACCTCCCGTAGAACCTTACTCCAGAATTTATACTCAGAAAGTTTTTCCAAGTATCTAATTTAAATCTCTCTTGATGCAGATTAAGCCCAACACTTACTTTCTTGTTCTATCTTCAGTGGACATGGAAAACAGTTGATCACCATCCTCTTTAAAACAGATCGTACCACATTCGAACACTGTTATCCGGTCCCCTCTCAACCTTCTTTTCTCAAGACTAAATATGCCCAGTATTTTTAATCTTTCCACATAGTTCAGATTTCTAAACATTTTGTCATTTTTGTTGCTCTTTTCTGGGCTCTCTCCAATATACCCACATTTTTCTTAAATTGTGGCACCCAGAAATGGACACAGTACTCCAGCTAAGATTTCACATTTGCTGAGTAGAGGAGGACAGTTACCTCCAGTGTCTTACATATGACACTCATGTTAATGTATCCCAGAATGATATTGGCCTTTTTTGCAGCTGCATCACACTGTGGACTCATATTCAATTTGTGATACACTATAACCTCCAGATCCATCTCGGCAGTACTACTACCTAGCCAGTTATTCCCCATTTTGTAGTTGTGCATTTGATTTTTAGCTTCCCAAGTGTAGTACTTTGCACTTGTCTTTATTTAATTTCATCTTGTTGAATTCAGATCAATTCTCCAATTTGTCAAGGTAATTTTGAATTCTAATCCTGTCCGCCAAAGTGCTTGCAATCTCTCCCATCTTGGTATCATCTGCAACTTTTATAAACATATGCTGCACTCCATTATCCAAGTCATTAATGAAAATATTGAATATTACTGGACCCAGGACAGATCTTGTGGGACGCCACTAGATATGTCTCCCCAGTTTGATAGCGAACCATTGATAACTAGTCTTTGAGTTCAGTCTTTCAACCAATTTCATCTAGAACACGTTTGCTTATCAGGTTGTCATGTGGGACTGTCAAAAGCCTCACTAAAATCAAGATATATCATGACATGCTGCGCTCAGCATTTCAGTGGTGCTCTTTATGAATACGCCATTAGAATTATTTAATAATTTCTCATAATATTAAGATGATTTTCCTCATTCAAAAGTAAGCGTATTACCAGTATCGCAGTAGTTTCTCCCCCTGGAGATAAGATCACCCTTATTTTTTCTAGATAATGTACATGAGATATTTAAGAAGTTAATATGCAACACATCATACTTAAGTTGTACATGGACATGCCATATATGTACAGTGCTGGATATTTTCATTAGTCCAGGTGATGTATTTTAGGACTGACATTGTTTCAGAGAGAAATATGAGCGCATATAATGGATCAAATAATTGAAATATTCAGTGTTCTAAAGGTGCTTTTCTTATGAAGTGGTAAGTACAGTGCTTACCCATTGTTGTTACATTTTAAAATAAATAAGCAAATAACTGCTCTGCGTAAAGCTAAGTCAGGCTAGAGCTGTTTTTCTCTGTGTTGCTGGATTCTTTCAGTTAGTCACTTCAGTGTCTTCATAATTTATTTTGCCTCCAGAATTGTAGTGTGACAATGCTTACTTTTGCTTGCAGTTGTATTGGAGAATCATGAGGTGACAGATGAAGATGTAGAGCCTGCTCTGAAACGCCAACGGATAGAAATTAACTGCCAGGATCCCTCTATTAAGGTTGTGATAATATACTTTTCTGTTGTTCAGAAGATCAGATACATGCAATTGCTTTTCTTTGGGGGAAAAAGTACGTTAAAAGCAGAGGATGGATAATAAAATATTAATAGTATATTTAAATGTGAATGGGGGTGGGTGGGTGGTTACCCTTTCTGCAAATGTTTTAGAATTATTATTATTATTTTAATTGTTTATCATTATTTATACAATATAGTGCTATGAATTATGGATCAGGACCCCAGTGTACTAGGCAGAAAAAACCCAGGAAAATAAAAGGTTCCTCAAGGACTTACAATCTAGGTGGTGATGTCCGTAGTGATGGAGAAAGGAGGTAGCAGGGAGGGCTTGCGGGGTGGGGGGGAAGAACTCTGTTTTAGCAATGTTGAGCTTGAGCTGATTGCTAGATATCCCTAAAGAGATCTGAGAGAGAGAGGCCTAGATTCTAGTTTGGACAGAAGGAGACAGGTCTGGAGTAGAGAGGTAGATCTGTGAGTCGTCAGCATAGAAACGTTAGTTGAATTTGTTTTGTGTGGACGAGATCACCCAGAGATGAGGTGCAGAGGGAGAAGAGAAGGGGACAAATATGGAGTTCTGTGGATCCCCCATGGAAAGCTGTAGAGGGGGATGAGGAAGACCCTCCTAAGGACACAGTGAAGAAGTGATTAGAGGTAGGAAGAGAACCATGAGTGGAAGTCACAGAAGCCGAGTGAGGACAAGATTTCAAGAATATGTGCATGGTTCACAGTGTTGAAAGCAGCTATGGCAGGTCAAGGAGATAAAGATGAAATACTGATTTTGAGCTTTAACTAGAAATATGTCATTAAAGACTTTGGCGAGAAAAGTTTCAATGGCATGCAAAGAATGGAAGCCAGATTGGAGAGGGTCTAAGATGGAACTGCAGCGGAACTTCAGACAGTGATTGTAAACAGCACATTCAGTGATCTTCGAATTGAAAGGGAGAAAGAAAGTGGGGTAGTAATGGGAAAGGCAAGCTGGGTCATGGGTGGGAGTTTTTAAGATGGGAGAGACTCAATAATGCTTGTTTGTATGGGGAAAGATCCAGAAGAGAGTGAGAGGTGAATGAGAAGAATAAAGGAGGGGATGAGAGTAGGCATGAAGAAGATCAGGAGATGGGATAGGATGAGGTTACTGGGATTAGAAGAGGGGAGCAGATGAGAACCTTTTGCCTCCCTGACAGGAGAAAAGAACAGAATTGTAGGAGGGGAAAGAAAGGCAAGCTATTGGGGGTGGGAAAGTCTCATCAGATTTGGTCAGTTTTCTCTTGGAAGAAATTGGTGAGATCCTGTGTGTTTTATTGGTAGTTAGCACAAACACCCATATGGCTTAAAACCTGGAGGATTGCTAAGTACCTCGTTATCTTCCGGAGCCAAATCAGCTCAGTCACCTTTTAATAATTCTTTTAAAATTATAGTTTTCTTTGAATTAGTCCAGCCACATTTGACTTGATTTCCCTGTGCTCACAGACCTTCCCCACCTCTCCCACATATGTTTCTTATTGGTAGTGTGTATTGATAATGTTTCAGTCTTGAGCACCAATAAACACGTAGATAATATTCTGCTGCTACACAGATTGGCGTATATAGTCTTACCTTCTTAAGATTGCCCTAGAAGCTGTGAAGATCAGACAAGTCTTCCCAAATTAAGAGTGCAAGCTGGCCTGCAGCGTTATCAAACAGTTCTATACTGCTCGTTTTACTGTAAGCTAGGCTAGCTGTGTAAATTTAATTTTAGATGGAGGCCACTAGGTGGCATACTGGCTGTTTCTTAAAGTCAATTCAAGGCATATGTGTTATCACCAGGGCTGTCAGTTAATCGCAGTTAACTCATGAAATTAATTGCAATTAAAAAAATTAATCACGATTAATTGCAGTTTTAAGCACACTGTTAAATAACAGAATACTAACTGAAATTTATTAAATATTTTGGATGTGTTTCTACATTTTCAAATATATTGATTTCAATTACAATACATAATACAAAGTGTACAGTGCTCATTTTATATTATTTTTATTACAAATATTTGCACTGTAAAAATGATAAAATAAATAGTATTTTTCAATTCACCTCATACAAGTTACAACTGTAGTGCAATCTCTTTATCGTGAAAGTGCAATTTACAAATGTAGATTTTTTTTTGTTATGTAACTGCACTCAAAAACAAAACAATGTAAAACTTTAGAGCGTACAAGTCCACTCAGTCCTACTTCTTGTTCAGCCAATCTCTAAGACAAACAAGTTTGTTTACATTTACGGGAGATAATGCTGCCTGCTTCTTTTTACAATGTCACCTGAAAGTGAGAACAGGCATTTGCATGGCACTTTTGTAGCCGGCATTGCAAAATATTTACTTGCCAGATATCTAAACATTCGTATGCCTCTTCATGCTTCAGCCACCATTCCAGAGGACATGCTTCCATGGTGATGACGCATGTTAAAAAAAAATGCGTTAATTAAATTTGTGACTGAACTCCTTGGGAAAGAATTGTATGTCTCCTGCTCTGTGTTTTATCCGCATTCTGTCATATATTTCATGTTATAGCAGTCTCGGATGATGACCCAGCATGTTGTTCATTTTAAGAACACTTTCACTGCAGATTTGACAAAATTCAAAGAAGGTATTAATGTGAGATTTCAAAAGATAGCTACAGCACTTGACCCAAGGTTTAAGAATCCAAAGTGCCTTCCAAAATCTGAGAGGGACAAGGTGTGGAGCATACTTTCAGAAGTGTTGAAAGAGCAACACTCCGCTCCAGAAACTACAGAACCCAAATCACCAAAGTGAACATGCATTGGTCTGCACTTCTTTGGATTGTTATTCATAGATTCATAGACTTTAAGGTCAGAAGGGACCATTATGATCATCTGGTCTGACCACCTGCCCGCTGCAGGCGATAAAACCCTC